TTCCCTTCCCTTCCCTTCCCTTCCCTTCCCTTCCCTTCCCCCCTGATTCCCCAGGAACCCCTGAGCTCTGGTGCTGATGAATTCCCAGGTTCAGTTCCATGTCGTTGCTGCTTTGAGCCATCCCATGGGGGCACCTTTGGGTGTCCCTCCCTCCTACCCTCTGGAATGGAACACCCATGGAATCCCAAAAATCTCTTTTTGCCATGGGAAGGGCTGATTTACAGCTTCTCTTACCAAAGCAGAATTTTTGTCCTCTCACACATCTTTTCTTTTACCAGTACTGTTTTATTTGCTGTTTTGTTACATGGTTGCTCAACATCCTGAGCAGAGTCCCCATTTCTCTGTAACTTCTTAGATTTTCTTGCTGGGGTTAAGGCACATTTTACTGCACTTTTTACTTCCTTTTTCACTTTGCTGTTAAAAACGAGCCTCAGCCCCAGCTCGTGGGGTGTAAATGAACACACAGAGCACCCCTGGCACTGCTGGACTCTTCCTCACTCCTCAATAACTAAAAAAAACCTCCAGAGAGTGACCCAAACATGAACCCACACCATCTAAAACAAAAATAAAAAGCTAAAATCTTGTCAGAGATGTTTTGATAAACATCATGACCAAAACTAAGCTGGAACCATCAGGGCAGTGCCTGGTTTATGCTGCCAGTCAAGTCAGGGCAGAGGAGCTACAGCCTTTGGGGTAATAAACTCTGGGAATTTGATCTACACGATCTACAGCTGTGGCCAAAAAATCGGATTTAGAAAAAAGATTTAGTTATGTAAAGCCATGAGAACAAAATAGTAGAGATAAAATACAGTAAAGTCATTGTCTCAGAGGGGAAAGCCTGGTTCTGGTTCCTGCTCCCAGCTCTGTTCCTGTCTCTGAGGTCACACCAACCCTGTCAGGGCCAGGGTTTTGTCTGGGTCACCCAGAGGTGTCACCATGAGGTTAAAGAGAGGGGGAGAATGAAGCTCCTCGAGGCCAGGTATCTCCATGGTCACCACGAGGTTGAGCTCCAATCATCAAGATAATAATTTTCAACTCCATCTTGCTCAAGTTTCCTTCTACTCCCACTCTTTCCCCCCCAACCCCGAATCCAGGGAAGAAAATGAAAAGTCAGGATGAGCACAATGATGTGACTGAGTGCCATAAGGAATTGGGAGAATGAGCCACTCTCTTAACTCATGCTCCATTTTCTCAGGGGCACAACAGAGCTGTGAAAAGGGAATATCTTGGTGAGGCTCCAGCTCATGGAAGGACATGGCTTTTACCACCCACAACGTCCAACTTCACCTCCCCACTTGTACTCCCACGAGTCCAAAGGAAAAAAACCCGTATTTTAAAGGATTTAATCCACCCAAGCTCTCGTTTTGGCTGAGTCGTTTCCCTCATGTGCTGTCAGATCACCAGTCCTGTGACCAGTGCCGTTATCTGGGACAAATCCACAGTCACAGGACACTGGGTATTTAAGGGCAGGGTAACTCCATGTGGTCACACAAATGTCTGCACAGCTGTAGAGAAAGTTCCCAGGAGACCCGAGTGAAACAGAAGCTGAAGCAGAGAGTTGTGAGGTTCTGTTTGAATGAGAAGTTTCTTATTTAAGTGAATCAACACAAACCATCAAAGCCCACAGCCCAGCCTGTTCCTGCTGCTTAACAGCCTAAAACTCCTAAAGCATCACCATCCCAAACCCAAAAGGAACAGCAGCACTGCCCACTTTGGTGTTGTGCTGCTCCTTGAGTTCTTTCACTCAAAATTTTTCCCTCTGGGCTCGTCTGCCCCAGCCCAAGAGTCTCAAATGGGATTTCAAACCCATGGTGAGATCTGGTTCAAACCATCACCATAGATCCCAGCTCTGCAGAGAGGACACATCTTGACTTCAAGCACTAGAGGGTTTTGGTTGTTTTTTTCAAAGAAA